TCGAATCCGCAAAAATACACTAGCGCGGTGCGCCATGCACCGTATCAGTTATTTTCAGAGAGTTGATTTTTTCCATTATGCAGAAATTTTGCACTAGTGCCCCACGGTGCGGTAGTGCATGTTTCTCAGAGTAATCTTTTTTCTCACTTTTTGACATCCAGACTTGGTCCCTGACATCCGAACGCGATCCCAGTTTAATTCCTTGTGAATAAAACACAAGGTTTAAGCACATAATACAAACTATGAATAAAACACATAATTAGTGCAATTCACTATCATTTAAGCTCAAAAATAAGCAAAATACAAACTATGACTAAAACACTGATTTCTAGCCTACCATCAGACAAACCTTTTAAGCAACTTTGTGGAAGACCTAATTGCATCAATTAGCTTGATAGGAAGGTTTAAGCCTCCTAACACATTCCCTTGTAGTTCAGAAGATGGATCTTCAGTCTTTGTTGCCTTTGGGACATAGCGAAGATTAGGGGCCACTCTCTTACTTGAGGATGCCTCATCTGTCTTGTTCCTATCATAAAGCACTTGATCCTTTTCAACCGTAATATTTGCCTTACCAGTTGTTACATCAGCCTTCTTTGCAATACTTTTGGTCAGCGTCACGTCATCAACCTTAACCTCCTTTGAGACATAATTCTTTAAGTAGAATTTTGTATCGGCAAAGTATGATTCAGCCTCGATAAAAGGTTTATCATCAACAACTATCTTCTTTTCGATTCCATCTTCACGGTACTTCAAGCATTGATGGTAGGTGGATGAAACCACTTTGTTCTCGTGTATCCATGGCTTTCCTAAAAAGATATTATATGAGGTCTTTGTGTCAATCACATGCATCCATGCGCTCGAACGCATATCTCCCATATCTATTTCCAATTTGATAGCCCTTATAGCTCTTTGCCTCCTTGATTGAACCCTTGAATCATTAAATGACTTTCACATAGTTTATCCATCGGCATGCCAAGCTCTTTGACAGTACGAATTGGGAGAATATTGATTCCGGATCCATCATTAATTAAAATTCTACTTATTCTCAAATCACGCACAAATCCAACCAAAAACAGGGGACAATTATGGTTTGTTTCACCAAGCAAAAGATCATCATTAGTAAATGTGATTTTTGCCTCACAAGTACTTCTTCAGAGAGATGCTCAGTGAGTTTTTTAGACAAGGGAGGTGGCAGCAATGATGGATCTTCCTTATTTACCTCTTCTTCATCTACCTTATAATCTGAGGCCTTAATATCTTCACTGGAAGTTTGCATGCATAACTAGCTGGCAGGAATTCATCCAACGTCACTAGACGACGTAGCCTTTGATAGCGATTCTCCTCTATTTTTTTTTCAATTCTTCTTTATCATTTTCTTCTTGGGTCTTTTCACCATTTCCCCCTAGTCAATTTCTTACTTAACTCCCTTTGTGAATTTGTCTTGCAACGTCTCCGCCGAGTAACAAGAATCCAACCTTCATCATCAGTTTGACCATCACGTAATTCACTTTCCTCCACTATTACTTTATTCACTATAGGGAGAAGCAATGTTTTGCTCATATCAATAGGTTCAAAGTCACCAAATTTAATCATATTTGGTGATGATGCAGTTTCGATGCCATCACATTCATGTACTTCGACAAAGTTTCAAAGGACAATAGGATCAAGTGAACCAAAAATGACAGAGACTTGATTCCTTTCTTTCTCATCCTCAAGCAAGATTTTTCGTTCAGCGTCCAAGTCCATGACTGTATCCTTGAAGATAAAGCACTTTTCAATAAGGTGTCCAATCAACCGATGGTACTTGCAATAATTTGGATCATTAGTCCTTCCAACTTCGTCTGGCCGCTTCATTTCAGGTAACTCAATGAGTTTCAACTCAAGGAGTTCTTCAAAAATTGCTGGAACATCAGAGTCCAAGAACGAATATTATTTCGCTTGCATTTCCTTCAGAGTTAACTTTCTTCCAGCTTTATCTTGTAAGGACACTGTCTTCACACTTTGCTTCTTACTCACTTTTGTAGTGACCTTTAATGCGAGGCATTAAAGTTCATTGATTCCTTGCTCTCAGACTTTGGCACAAACTTGCCTCATTTCCTTATTTCTTGTTTATCCTTCCCTTTGTAAGGTTCATAACAGGTGGCCCTTGATTTTCACTTGAAGACATGTTTAACTCCATATCATGTGCATGCGTAGCCAATTATTTAAAAGACTTAGGCTCGATACCTTATAGGATGTAGCAAAGTCTCCAATGCATTCCTTGGATACACATTTCTATTCGAGAAGCTTCATTAAGTCAGTCTTTATAGTTGAGGCTCGCATTCCTCCATCGATTGATGAAATCAACAACTGGCTCATCCTTTCATTGATGCATGTTTGTGAATTCAACCATACTTACAGTTCACCTTATGTTATAGAAGTGATTGAGAAATTCATGTTCAAGTTGCTCCCAACTATCGATGGAACCAGCCTCAAGATCAGTGTACCATTCAAAAGCATTTCCTTTTAAGGAGCGGATAAACTACTTGACAAGATAATCTCCATAGGTTCCAGCATTATTACAAGTTTTGATGAAATGTGCAATGTGTTGCTTTGGATTTCCTTTGCCACCAAATTGTTGAAACTTTGGGGGTTGATAACCTACAGGAATCTTCAAACTATCAATTCTCGCAGTGTATGGATTCGCAAATGTGAGAGACGACTTAGTAGCAACATCATACTTGTCTTTGATGGTTTATATAATGAAGTCTATCAACTGGTCAATGTGAATTACCCAGTCAAACGAAATTTGAAGTTCCTTAGGAGTCGTTGTCTGCCTTGCAGACGAGTCTCCTTCATTTTGCATCATAGGGAGCTTTCCAGGTGCATGACTTGAATCTCCCTCCATCATGCTTTCGACTCTATATGTCAGCTTGACGATTTGATTACCTTGATCTTGCATATGCTTCGTTAACCCCTCAGTTGCCTTTGTTAAATTTGCGAGTTGTTCTTCAACAGTTGAAGTGTTAGTCACCATTGCTTGGATAATCGTCATGGATGGTGGAACAAAGCATGGATTTTTTCTTACACCATACTTTGAGTGGAACAACTCACGTTGAGTGATTGGAGCAGATCCAGTGATCAAGACATCATCATCATCATCATCATCATCATCATCTTGTATGATGAGATTCTTAGATCTAGACGGGCTAAGTAGAGCAAATGTCTTTTCAATAATTTTAGCAATGTTTTCTCCTTCTTCCAATTCAGTTGAAAATGATCTTGCCCCCTTTGAGGATCGAAAATCAATGATATGAACTAATGCAGACGACATTTGAAATACTTGTTGTCCCAGCAAGTTTGATTTGTTCCTAGTGACCTGTCCTATGCTTTCCATAATAACATCCCACAAGTTTTCAACATTAGAGGAAAACTTGGAATCCGTAGCCTTAGCAGCACTCGATTTGAAATTGATCTTCTTAGGAGCCATTTTAGTGCTCTTGAAATTTGGTAATTGAAGAGATGAGAGGTAGTGATTGTCCCATGAGCGTGCCGGAAATTTGTAACAACAAATTTTCGCGTCAAGAAAAATAAATAATCAAGACTAGAAAATTGCGTAACAAACCATTGCTTGGATAATCGTCATGGATGATGGAGCAAAGTATGTATTTTTTCTTACACCATACTTTGAGTGGAACAACTCACATTGAGTGATCAAGACATCATCATCAACATATTGTGTGATGAGATTCTTAGATCTAGATGGGCTAAGTAGAGTCAATATCTTTTTAACAATTTCAGCAATGGTTGCTCCTTCTTCCAATTCAATTGAAAATGATCTTGCCCCCTTTGAGGATCGAAAATCAATGATAGGAACTGATGCAGATGACATTTGAAATGCTTGTTGTCCCAGCAAGTTTGCTTTGTTTTTAGTGACCGGTCCTACCCTTTCCATAGTAACATCCAATAAGTTTTCAACATCAGAGAAAAACTTGGAATCCATAGCCTTAGCAGCACTGGATTTGAAATTGATCTTCTTAGGAGCCATTTCAGTGCTCTAAAAATTTGGTAATTGAAGAGATGAGAGATAGAGATTGTCTCATGGGCGTGCCAGAAATTTGTAACAACAAATTTTCGCGTCAAGAAAAATAAATAATCAAGACTAGAAAATTGCGTAACAAATGTAGTATTTGGTTTCAATAAATGATGAGTGTTACAATCTCTATAGTATTCCTCTGGTTCTTTAAGAAGGTAAAACATCTTAATGAGCTTAACTTTGATTTGATTCAAGGGCTTGTAAAGCTTGGTTTTGAATCTCCTTCTTGAACTTGAATTTAGATTTGATCACGAACAAGTAATTTGATCTTGAATGCCTTGGTATTTGATGTTCTTGATCTTGAACTTGAACTTGTAGCTTGAGTGTTTAAGTGCTTGAACTTGTAGCTTGTAGAGAAATCTCCGGTGTTTGATCCACGAGATCTCTGCTTGCTTCTTGTTATCACTTCTGGTATTTTCTAGCTTATGAAGACCTCTATTTGTAGTTGTAGGGAGTGGTGTGGCTCTGTGATTTGATTGGTCCCTCTGAACTGACCAATGGCATCTAGACACTTGGCACAACTCTATTGGTTGTTGATTTGGCTTAGTATGCCAGCTTTTCTTGACACATGACATAATTTCATTGGCTCATTTATTTGCCACATCATTTGACACGTGACGTAGTTTTATTGACTCGTTCTTTTGACTTGGATTGCTACATCACTTGATACGTGAAATGAGCCTGGCTTTTAGATGGGCTATATCCATTTGGACCGTGGGCTAATGAAGTGGGCCTATCATTTTAAATGGACTAGCCCAACACATGTATAGTGAATTTAAATAATTAGCCCAATTTACTAGCCACAATATTTATTTGGACTAATATCTTAAATTTAATATGGTCCAAACTATTTTAGTAATTTAAATCCAATAAAATTTAAATGCTTACGCCCCAAATTTAAGAACCTATAAAAAAACCCCAACAAAGCCCTATTTGCATCTGCTTAGTAGCCTCAACAGACATGGCGTCTTTCACTGTCAGGTCCCTCCTCCGCTCCGCCACTACCTCCGGCCGAAAAGCCGCCGTTAGACTTTCCGGTGGTTCCAAGCCCAAGGCCTCTGCCTCTACCTTTCGTATCCCATCACAGAAACCACTTACCGCTCGCATTTTCAGGTCATTAAACATTTTTTAAACTTTTTGCATTTCACCAATTATTTCAGTATTTACCCTTAGTTATATATACATGCTATTGATCCAGATAAACTCTGTACACACACAACATATATATANAAAAAAAGAATAACACATTTAATAAATATTAGAAACAATTTTAACTCTAAAAATTCCCATTTTACTATTATCGAAATAATTTATATCCACACATGTGTATGACTTATTTTAGACCATAAATTTTAGAAGTCTGTCTTTCTTATTAAATGCCCCGCATAAATTGGGACGGAGGGAGTATAAATTTTCACCAAGAGTATTTACCATTAATTATTTCTGTATAATATTGAATAAGATGCAATTTTTCTTTATATTTTGTAGGTCACCTGTTGAAATGAGCTGTATAAGAGTGGAAACGATGTTTCCATATCACAGTGCTACTGCTTCTGCATTGCTGAATTCCATGTTATCTGGCACTCCTCGATGCTATGGTTGGAGTCTTGAAGGTATACTTACATCTTTTTATATTATCGTATGGATCCATATGAAGATTAGTTTGTTGGGTGCTTGATTTTATGCATATGTGTTGAAGATATAGATCCCATTTGGATAAGCTGAATTTAAGTAGCTTTTAAGCGTCACATGCTGAAAAACACTTTTTAAGTGATAGAGCTGAATTTATGATTAAGCAGTTATGTATATGAATAGAAGTGTTGAAGCTGAAAATAAATTGTTGATGTGTTTGGTAAAAACAACTGATAATCACCCTTAAAGCTTGTAACACCAGAAATAAGTTTATTGGTGCAACATTTTTGATTTTATACTAATTCAAATACAAGTTAAATTTGTGTATCAATTTACTTCAAGTTATATAAGATTTTTCTAATGAATATAAATTATTATTTATTTAAATAGCATATATTAATTAATTTTATTGACCAAAGTTTGAAAGTAATAGACAATTCATATAGAAACTACCCAAAAAGTAAATAAAGAAATATTTAATTGTAATAGAAATTTCAATATTGAAACATATTGTTGATGCTTGACAGTACGAGGAATAGATCTTAAAGTCGAAACATAGCTTTCTAGAAAGAAAATTAGCTTTTAGGTGGCCAACTGCAATGAGTGAAAAAGCAAATCACTTGCTTTGCAGTATTGTTAAAATGCAAATATGTTGACGTTTCTGGGGAAAGTTCCAATTGCTTGCGTTCTTTTTTATCTTTGCAAGTTTTCTCTAGGTTATTGCTATTTGCCACAATCCAACGATTGGAAACTGCTAGACGAAAAGGCAACAGTGAAAGGCAGATATGAAAGTCAACGAAAGAAGTAGAAAGACAAGAGATAAAATTGTGATTTACTTTGGTCAAAGCCTAAGTACTTTTAAATAAAAAAGTCATAAGTATGTGGGCAGACCAACTTATAATTTTTCGCTTGTTTTAAGTTATTTTGGTCTAAAAGTACTTGGCTTAAAAGCATTTTTTAGACTTCCCAAATATCAAAACAATTTAAAAACTGCTTTTAAGTTTGTTTGACCAGCTTTTAAGACAATCCGAACACCCATAGTGTTTGAATTGGCTTAATAGGTGTTTGGATTGGCTTAAAAGTTGGTCAAACCAGCTTAAAAGCACTTTTTGGCTTGTTTGGTATTTGACAAACTTAAAAAGTGTTTTTGAACCAAGTGTTTTTAAGTTAAAATAACCTAAAACAAGCCAAAAGCTATAAGTTGGTCTATCCCAAACTTATGACTTTTTGGCTTAGAAACACTTGGGGTTTGACCAAGTAAATTATAATTTTATTCCTTGTCTTCCTTCTTTCCTTTGTTGATTTCCATCTCTTGATTGCAACAATAACTTGGAGAAAACTTGCAAATATTAAAACGAAAGTTAGTGATTAGGAACTTTTCTTGGAAACCTCATGAGATTTGCATTTTAACATTTCCGCGAAGCAAATGCCTAGCTTTTTGACTCAGTTGCACTTCATCACCTAGATGACACACAGGAACTAGTTTGTTTCTAGAAAGTTAACTTTCGACTTGAGGAATATTCATCATACATTTTATTTATAAAATCAGTTCCAGTACGTAAAAAGTGCGCTTTAGCACGTGCTTAAATTAAGCTAATCCAAATGGGCTCATAATTAAGTAAATAAAAGTTGCTCTCTCCAGCAGCTTTAACTTTTAGATGGGATGACCACACACTTTTATGTGGTATCAGAATAGACAGAGGTCATGTGTTCGAGTCTCATTATCACCCATTATCAACAATTTTTTTTTTACGTGTTTGGCCCATAAAAAAGAATTTCTCCCACACTTGTGGGTGCGTGTTTAGAATATAGTTAAGTAAAATAAAGTGTGCGCTCTCTAATAGTATAAGCTTTTAGATGAGATGTGGTTCATCAATAATTCTCATGTCTCCAAATCTGTATACTATTGTTAGTGTTGTGTTTAATGTGTGAGCTTGTAGTCCCTAGCGCTATCTGCCATTTGTTCTAAATTTCTAAAAGATTGTACGATGTACATTTTCACTTGGTGCACTCATGAGATTCCTTTTGGTACACTCATGAGATTCCTTTGTGTATTGAAGATTGGTATTTGGTTGTCGCTCTTAGAAAATAGTGTCTTTTTTGTAGGTTTTCTACTTTTTGATCAACTAATTGTATTCGGGATTTTTTTGCCCGCATTAATAATATTTATTACTTTATATTACTTTATCAAAAGAAAAGAGTACACTTATTATCTTATACTTTAACCTTTGAGTGCACTGCTATATTACATAAGTTGATTACATAGGCCACTATTATCAGTATGCAATGTGTGCACTTCTTTGAGCCTTGAATGGTTGAAGCAAAAGTTCCTTATGAGGCCGTTAATACACATTTTTAGGAATTAATTACTTTTTTCTTTGCTTTTGACTATTCAAATAGGGCATCATTCCCAGATATTCACATTGTTAGAATGCCAAATAGGATCTTAGGCTTAACTATTTACAAACACAAAATGAGAAGAATACAACAACGGAGTTGTCACAAGTATAACTTAAGTGGTCTTGAAATAGATTCCACAACTTGAAGTCTTGAAATGAAATTCCGGCGAATCCTATTAACTCTAGAACACATGATCATGTGAAGAATCACTAGAATTTGCATCAATCACAAAATCTGCAATTCCAAGCTACTATTTAGTGTACTTGCAGGAAAATAATGACGATACCACAATCGTTTTAGATGCAATGAAAGATGAGATGTCACCTATGAAGGCAAACCAAGTTTTGGACGAATATAAATGAAGCTCCTTGGTTCTTGAGATTGAGATGTATTGAATTAGGTCCAAGTATTAACTTGGCATGTCTCGGAAGACTTATATTAACAAAGTTCTAGTGAGGCTTCAATTGCAAAGTCGTTCACCAAGTCTAGCACCCCAATCAAAGGTGATAAACTATGTCAAAGTCCATGCCCTTAACATGAAGTTGAATGAGCAAGAATGCAAAGAGTTCTGGATTCATCTGTTGCTGGAAGCCTTATGTATGCTCATATTTGTACATGGCCTGATATTAGTTTTGCGATAGGTATGTTTTGGGAAATATCAAAGTAATTAGGGAAAAGTACTTTGAGAAAAGGTTAAAAGGCAATGTGATATTTCCAAGGTACCAAAGATTTAACACTCACATATTGATGGAGCAAACATCTTCAAGTGTTAGGCTATTCAGATTCTGATTTCATAGGATATGTTGAGAGTACTAAATCAACATTAGGGTTGAACCATTTCTTGGAAGAGCGTAAAGGAACTCGAATAGCTTCAAGTATAGAAGCTGAATTTGTTGCATGTTATGAGGCAACGTCACGAGCCATTTGGTGTCTAAATAATAAGTGCTCTAGTAAGTCCAAATATATTGAACTAGAGTGTCATGTTGTGCGAGAGAGAGTTCAACCGAAAAAAGTGTTCACTAAACACGTTAGTACCAAGATGATGATAGCAGACGTTTGACGAAAGCATTGGTGCGAAAACAACTTAGTGAACATGTCTACTACATGTGTCCTAGTGATGTACAATGTTCCTTTGCTCAGACACATCAACCATGTTGTGTTCTTGTATCTTATGTGCACGTTTTATGAATCTACATGACTTGCAATGATATTTGGATCACTGACTGCTTGTGTTTCCTCTTATAACCTATCTACACTGAAATTACTGATAGTATTGGACATGTTGAAATTGTACTCAAATTATTAGTACAAGCCCATCATGGTCCATATTGGTAATTTTGGTAGGATAAGTAATGTGATACATTGTGGCCGCTTCTTGAATTAACTTATTTTCATGTGGTCGTTTGTCCATTCATGTGCTTAGAGGAATCATTAGTTGTGTACATAGTATGTGGATGAATTATTTATAACCTTCCTAAAAAACGTGTAGAAGGATGAATTGAGTTTCATTGGCCAAAGTCAAGTAACTATTCAAATACGTTGAAAAATCATTCATGAATCCGTCAAGTTAATGTAACTATAGATACATTCATGGATTCTTCATATATCTTTTAAGTTAATGAATGTCTTCCTAGATACTAAGTACAAACATATGAAAAGTATAAACACATGAAGGAATTATGTATTTGGATGTTAGTTCCTTTAGTCAAGAGAAAAGATTCAATTTCCTATATATTATGGCCATAGCTGGGTTAGCCATTTCAAAAGACATTATAAACATCATAAAAAGGGATCTTCGTCCCTCTCAATACTCCAGCCTATGTTTTTAATATTGCAGGATAATGTATACTCCAGCCTGTCCCAATTTATGTGGCATCTTTTCTTTTTTAGTCTATTCCAAAAAACATATCACCGTTTTATATTAGAAATAAGTTAACTTCATAATATCCTATTTTCCCTTAATGAGATGATTTATAGTCACACTAATGTCTAAGGATTGTTTTAAACCACAAGTTTGAAAAAATTTCCGTTCTTTCTTAAACTCCATGCCTGGTCAAATGGTGCCACCTAAATTAGGACAGATGGAGTAATATATAAAGAAAGGAGTATGAAGATTGAGACTTCGTGAACTTGTGTCATCAAATCCCTAGGCTCATCAATACGGAAGCAAAAATCAAGATCCAAACATCTAAAGCAATAAAGAGTTGCTCATGCCAATCAACATAATTAGAACCATGTAACTTAGGGATGTTCGGCATATTTCCCTTAGTGCAGCTGGGATAACAATTGCAAAATGATACTCCCTTTGTTCCTATTTATGTGAATGGATTAGGAGTACAAGGGTTAAAGCATCTACTCTTATCCCAATTTATGTGGCACACTTTCCTTTTTAGTATGCCCCTAAAGAATGTTACTTTTCTATATTTAGAAACAAATTAACTTTAAAACTTTCATTTTACCCTTAATGAGATAAATTATAGCCACACATGTCTAAGGATTGTTTTGGTTTGGACCACGAAGTTTAAAAGTCTTTCTTTCTTTCATAAATGTTGTGCCTAGTCAAATGGTGCTCATAATTTAGGATGGAGGGAGTAATTTTCAGTGTGAATTCGACATAAATTCTTCAAGCTCTTAAAAATAATAATTCAATATTTAAAAGTTACATGAAAAATACTTTAAGCTAACATAGTTAATGATTAAAAATACTCAAAAAGAGTTTAAGAAAATTGTGGTCAAAGAAAACACTTTTTGATTTCTCAATAGTAACACTTTCACATAAATGGAATGGAGGGAGTAACAATTATGCTATAAGTGTATATTTCCATTGCATCATCTAGTCTTATTTTGTGTAAAGATTTAGACATGTTATCGATTACAAGTGAGGTTAGTGTAATTAACCCCTTTAAAAGCATAATGAGACATTTTACATCTTTGGATATAAAACACCTCTAATTATAGAATCACAAACACCTTTCGGTAATTTAAATTTCTATAGTTGCAAAAGCAGTATGTTTATCTAACCTTTTTTGACTGTACGTCACTTTGACAACTGTCAAAGTGAGTTCAAATAATAATAGTTAAGGAAACAAATTTACCCTTTTTTGTACTTTCTCCGTCCCAATTTATGTGAAGGTGTTTTGTTTGGGCACGTAGTTTAAGAAATAAAGGATGACTTTTGAAACTTGTGGTCTAAACCAATCTATACGAATTTGTGTGGCTAGAAATCATCTCAATAAGGGTAAAAACGAAAATTTTAAGTTGAATTGTTACTCCATATAGAAATGTGTCATTTTTTGGGACTGACTAAAAAGGAAATAGTGCCACATAAATGGGTCGGAGGGAGTATGGCATATAACCAGTACATATATTATTGAATTATTTTAATAACTATATGAAACAAGTTAGAAGAGTATTTTGGTGAAACAAACATTTATATCACCTAAGCTAGTCATCATAATGCAGAGTGTATATATAACCATAAATAATGCTAACACGCTAAATACTTTATAAGTTCATAAACCAGCAACCTAATGCTCTGGTACCACATGTTAAAATGCCAAGTAGGATCTTAGGCTTAACAATTTATAAACACAAAATAATAAGAATAATAGTATGAATCTTGAGCCATAATATTTCTAAATGTTGGTGCAAATTTGAGATTAACTTGTCTTGTTAGTTGATGGTAGTACTTAGGTTCTACGTAAAGTCTCAATTTTCATTCTCCTCATCTCTTTATCTTTATATGTTATGATGAGATACTACAAACTTAGGTGGGAGTGTAGAGCGGGACCAAGACCCCATTATATATGTTTGGAAAGTCATTTGATATGGCTAACCCATCAGTGGCCATATAAATATGTGAATGGATTTTTCCTCTTGATTAAAGGAACTATCATCCAAATACAAAATTATTCCATGTATTTATATTTTTCATGTGTATATACCTAGTATATAAGAAAACATTCATCGATATACTAAAAATTCATGAATAAATCTTGAAGGATTCATGCTGAATCCTGAATTTAGCTAATCGTTACATTTCCGTAATGGACTCATGTATGATTTATCAATGTAGTTGATTAGTTACTTAACTTTGGTCAATGTAACGTAATTCATCCATATACTGTGTACACAACTAATCATTTATCCAAGCACATATACGGAGTTCACCATAAACTAGGTCACCTTCTGCTAATACACATACCTAGTAGGTAACTTGTTAACCTGATATTTCACATTAGATTAATGTGTTTACAAAGAAAACAACCATGTCACATGGTTGTTTTGGCACAAGATGCGCTCTACTATCTATATTAAAAATACAGTGACGTTTGTCTAGTATTAGAGTTTTGTCGGGAGACGAGTCAGTTTGATTTGAGATTGTAGACTTGTTGTTTTGTGGCCTTTTATTCTGTTTGTCCTTTTAGTCTACAACAAAAACTCCTATTGGTTGAAATTATTGTAATATAACTCGCAATCAGAACTCTTTAAATGCTTATGGGTTCAGCTTACAACAAGAGTGATATGCACTTCACCAAGGTATCAATATATGGCATCGAGCCTTGAAATATGCATTTGCTGTGCCTGTCTGATTGTAGCTTGATGCAGAAATACGTATTTCTTGCAGATTTGTGAATCATGCAGCTGATATTGAATGTTGATGAGTTAAGTCCATAAATGTCGGGCTGAAAGTTGCTTAGCATATAAATGTTGCCTTCTCAATTGTAGTTGTTAAGATGTAAGTGACAGTCTAATACTTGTATTTAATCAGATTGCGAGGATGATGTATGATGAATGTCAGAGAGTTCAAGTGAAGCTTTATGTCCAAGCGGTCTAAAAGAATAAATAGTAGAGTACTGAATGAGAACATGGGTATTTACATCTTGAAGTCGTGAGTTAGCTCATTGTAATTATAGATATGTAATGGTCAAAGCATGAATTGACTCCAGAATTTTATTGCATTTCTTTACGGTTATGATGTTAGATATAGCAATATAATTACCAGATTTTAGTTTCCTTGAATTGTTCTAGAGAATCTATTGATGTCTTCTATCATTTGTATATTGCCAAGTTGCTTCTGAAAAGATTGTATCATGAGTAACTTAGACGGGCGTCGTGTGGACAACCACAAGTATTCATGTCTTTGGGTGATCTAGATTGTTCTTAAACAAGCCTCAAGAATAAAACTTTGGTAAGAGTATATATTTGCTAGTAAAGATATTTAGTTGCGTGTTTTTTATAGTATTCGTAAACCACTTGATTGTTGCGTCTTTGTCTCTTGTATCCGTCTAAAATCTTTTAATCCACTGGACTGAGAGACACATTTCAGTGGCACTGAAATGAAAGATGATCCCCAAAGGCACAAAAGTTTTCTGCTATCTCAATTGCCTTTTCTCTTTTCCTGGGAATGGAGGGGAGATGATTTCATTTGATATTGTCTTAACATTGTATGCTTGTTCTCTTGTTTGCTTTTGGATAACTGAAGTTAAAAAGAAAGTTCTTGTACAAGTTGAAGTCCTAGTATATCAACTTACAGTGACCATAAAAGAGGGCCAAGATAACATAAGAATTGAACTTCTGCTGAGAACTAGAGTTTGAAACTTTAGTAAACTGTGAACCTGATGAAATGGGAACAATTCCAACACAGGGACTTCCACCAGTATGGAACAATATCATCCTTAAACAACATATTTTTGCATTTTCAGATTAACTGCAGACTTTGCGTGATGCTTTTGTTGTGATTTGCTGTACTTGTCTGATTATAGATTGATCGGAATGTACTACTTCCTGTTGATTTGTGTGAATCAATTAGCTATATGATTGCTGAAGAATTAATTCCTTAGATAAGCTTAACTGAATAGGATAGTGTGAGGAACTGATCCTTAGCATGTATTATTTGCCTTTTGTCATTGTAGTTCGTGCTGATTAAATCATGCTTTGGTTCATTCTAATACTTGGTATTCAATCAGATTGCAATGATGATTTATGATGAATATCAGAAGGTTCAAGCAAAGTTTCACAATGCAGTCTAAGAGATTGTCTGAAAGTAGGGTACAATAGGAGCTCCAAAGAAGAAAAATATATCTTCTACTGTAAGTCTGTAACTGTGATTTTGACCCCCTTCAGTGAATTCTGGATCGTAATTGAGTGTTCTTAATTACTCCTAGTATATGTTTGTTGGACAACTTTTGAGCTCATTGTACTTGGACTATGAGAACAAAAGTATCTGACCTTGTCTACAATTTTGTTGCTGGATACAGTTCTAAGGTTTCTCCATGAGCATGGAAAATCAGATGTGTGTGCGTGGGTGCGCGGGTGCGCGTGTCTGTGTATGCTTACGCATTTTGTTGCGTTTTAATGATGCTTATGCTTATGTTGCTAAAAGAGCAATGTTTTGATGCTAAAATCTGCTTAGCATCTAAAATCTTGATTGCACAATGTTTCAATTTTATTGAAAGAGTTATTACATAGTAGTTTGACTTTGGCCTTTCCTTGTTTAAGGCTGTGATTACTGCACATTGGCTTTGACAATTTTGCAAATTGTTCCAAGTGCTTTTATTTGTTCTGTATGCTATGAACTTCAGTAAGACTGCGGAATTAGCTGTTAAAATCACCCCCCCCCCCCCCCCCCCCCCCTATTTTTATTTTTATACTGTTGGCAGCTATTTCTTATGGGGTAATTTTCTCAGTTACTCCTTTCTTTTCCCGGAAAGAATGATGCTTAGTTTTAGATATTCAAGCATTTCATTTCCACTATTAGAGAATATTTACTCCATAAATATGGAATTAGTAACGAGACATGACATTTCTCTTTAGAAATCCTTTATAAGGGTAAACGATAACTCACCATGTGTAAGCTTGCTCAAATTGCCAGTTTCAAATTCAAATAAAGATGGAAGTTATGGTAAGTTAATAACTAGCGTAAAATTAGTTAATTTATGACAAATAGGAGAAAAAGATGGGCAGTTGGCGAGATGGCCATATATCTAATATTTTACTCCCATAGTACATTCCTAATTATCTCATATTTCAACCATATACCGCTCTCCTTTAACCACATAGGTAATGATTAAAACTAGCAAGGTTAGTAACATATATAATGCAATGAACCAACTTATATATTTGACAGTATTAAGGCTATTTATCACCTTTACATTGTTTAGTTTAACGGGTTATAGTAGATAGTTATCATCTTGTATGGCAATCAAGTATGGTAATAGCAAAATTCTTTAAGCCGTCTGTATATAAAAATTAAACCTGAAAATAGAAGGCTTAAAATTAGAATTGAACACAAACTAGAGAAGGGAAGAAAGAAATTGTTACTGAGTACATGACACTTGATAGAAGAGTGTGGAGGTTGAGAATTATGGCAGAAGGTTATTGGATAGTTGAGTATATTTCTTTGCCATACCAGTTGCATTAGTATTAATCTTGTTTTCTTGTTCATAGAGTTATATTTATACCTGTTATTTTTTTCGCTTCAGTTATCTTATTATATCGTTATTGTTATTGCTTGTTGCTACTGCTTCTTATCATTTTTTCCTTAAGCTGAGAGTCTTCGGAAACAATCTTTCTACCTCCACAAAGTAGGGATAAGATCTACGTACAAATTACCCTACCTAGACCTCACTTATGGTTTATACTGGTGACGAGCGCAAAACACAACACCAAAAATTAATGCTCGCTAACCAAAGATAGTATAGTAAAATATGATCTCCATAGGGATTGGATTTAAACAATGTTCAAATAATTTCTGGGTTAAATGCTATTAAGGATATTCAACACTTTAATTTGGGATGATTAATACTACAACTAATAAACTAAAATTGAAGCAAGTAAAAATTAGTCACAGAGAACTAGAAAGTAGAGCAATGGGTATTTATACCAAGTAGGAGCATGCCCGGAAAAACTACCCTCTCTGAGCCGAAGTGGGAAAAGATGAACAACAAAAATACACAACCGCATCGCTCACTGTGTCGCACCCAGCGTCGCGCTAGTGGAAATTTTCAGAGAGTTGATTTTCTGTCGGACATGCTGCCAAGCACTGTCGCGCCACGCCGCATGTGTAAAAATCACAGAGTAATCTTTTTTTCTCACTTTTTGATATCCAGACTTGGTCCTCGACTCCCGAATGCGATCCTAATTTAATTCCTTGGGCTTTTACTCAGATTTCAAAGCTCCAAATCACTCAATTTAGCTCAAAAATATTATTTTAACTTGGAATCATCTCCTACAAAGCATAAACTACGTAATAAGCGCAAATCATCATCATTTAAGCTCACACACGAATAAAGTGTAGTAACTAGAGTGCAAAAATACGACTAAAATACGGGTTTCTAGCCTACCATCAATACCCCATACTTAACCATTGCTCATCCTCGAGCAATCAAACTACACTTCACATAGAGACGACCTTTTCATCAAACAACTTTTCTAACTTATCATGCTAAGAATATTTAAATCAGACTAAGCACCATACCGTAACATCCTAGCCTCAAGGCTCAACTCACAAGCACTACGTATTTTTCAAAACCTACTAACTTGATCAAACATAAAGGCCAAAGACATTATCTTTCCTTTACAAATCATGTGCCCTCACACAAAAAATAGAGATTAGTTCCACACACAATAAAATTCAAGAACAAATAGGAACTCAATATAGAAAGAGTTCACTCACTCTCAGAAATAAAATTCATATGCCACAGAAGATGTATCATAGGCTTGCCCATAGTATAATACTCTACTAATTGAGCTTATTAAGTCAAAGATCAAGTAGGACTTTATTTGGTTATAATATAGATTGCGGGAGGGTAGGATACATTTGGATATAGTGACTACACTTCCCTGAGTACTTTAATACATACAATTCACAACCTAAACCCCACACTTATCTTGAACCAAATCCCAACCTTCACAACATAATATCATCAAGCTCCCAATTTTCTTAAGCACAAGATGAGAACTATCACTAGCAAGGAATCAAATCTTTTTCTAATACATGCACATATTCTCTCTCTTTTGTTTCTTTTCAAGGTTCTATGTTTTTTTTTCTCAAATCCAATTCACTTTTATTTTTCAATTCCCTACACGTGACTTTCAAAAATTTTCAAACATTGCACCTTTCTCCATTTTTTTAGTTTCACTCAGAAATACAACCATACCTCTACTTAGGTTTTAACAAGCTCATAACAATTTCAAATGCTCGAGAGAGGTAAAATGTTCAAACAAATGGTCAGTTCCAATAAAACGGTCGGGCTTGTAATGCGATTGCCAAATGAATAGGATTACAGGCTCAAGAGAGCTAACTAGGATACACAATAATTAGGTAGGTCAAGGCATATATCTGGCTCAACAAAGAAACGCCTTTATCACTTCCTAGACTGAACAAGACTACCATTTTGCTTTGCAAACATGCGGGACAAATTCTAGACACCACATGACATGCATAGAATATCAACAATAACTTCACACGCACCATGGCATATAACTCACTCAGGACCAGATCTATCCCGACTCTCTAGTCAAAGCAGTTAAGCAAAGTCAAGATCAAATAAATTAAGACACTTATAGATGAGTCAAAAACTGAGCCTAGGCGTCACAACTAAGTCCCTCCTCTCAAGGCACAACAAAGTTAAGAAAGATTGTCTCTAATAAGTACAACAACACAAGATTCTCTTTATTCCTATAAAAAAACTAACTACACCCGGTTCAAGTAAAAATCCTTAAAAAAGAATCGCGACACAAAGAAAAACCAAGGGGGAATTGTTACACTTCCTAAAAAAAAGACATATTTTTGGATTTCAACATATTTGATTTTTTCCGACTTTAAATCCCTCAAGAAGACAGTCGAGGAAATCCATCATCGGGAAGAGTCAATTTTTTAAAAAAAATGTTCTTAAGTAATGACGAAAAACACAAACAAAAATATACACACATATTTAAATCCCGCACTCCATACTTTAAATTGTGGCATGTCCCCATGACACATAAGTAACAACAATAGGTAAAGAAACTCCCCTGAATTTTTTCTTTTTCAAGAACGTATGAACTTCACCTTTAATTCTGAATTCATTCCTCATTTCTACTCCTCAGAATTCTTCATAGAGCTCTTTAGGCCAAATTCATCTAAGGATATTTATAAGACCCACTCTTTTCTTTCTTGCTTGGCCTCATTTTGAGCGGTGAATTGTTCGTTCATGAAGATCTACAGCTTGTTCTGTATTCTTTCACAGGATCAATCCATGCATATTCCTGTAAATCCCTAAAAATAAAATCATCATGATCAATGTTTTCTTAAGAAACAAAGAAGAAAGGTCATGTGAATATTCTTGTAGTATGTCATGTCTAAGACCATTTGTTTCTCATTCCCTTCTACTAAAGGTTGTAAATGTGAAAAGGTGGACGAGGGTTTGAACTCTTCTTCCATTGCTTCACACTCAACCAAAACCTTATTTTCAATCATCTCAGTTGAATCAGAGTCCTCTTGTAGAGTAACAACTTCTCTTTGTAGATGTTCATCCTCTTGGGTCAACTCATTCTCATAGGGTATCTCCTCCGTATATTCACCATTATAATAAAATGAGCTTTCTAAGAGTATATTTACTAATTAAGTCACTTGCTTTGTTAGGTTCTTAATGGTTTCATCATTTTGTATAAGTCCTTCTTGATTTTCTATAAATCTTTTGTCACGACCCGAAAGCCACCTTCGGACCGTGATGGCGCCTAACATTTTACTTGCTAGGCAAGCCAACGTTAGAAAAATATTAACCAATTTTTAAACACTCTTTACATTATTAATAATCAAGGAAACAAAAGCGGAAGTAAAGTTTAAAATATAGTGAAATAATCCATAAATGCAACGGTGTCTAAATACCATCCCAGAATTGGTGTCACAAGTGCACGAGCTTCTAGAATAATACAAATAAAAGTCTGAATAAAATAAAGCTGTCTGGAAATAAATACACAGCTAAAGTAAAATAGACGGGGACTTCATAACTGCAGACGCCATGCAGTTATACCTCAAGTCTCCTCTGGTAGCTAAAATCCGAGCACGTCTACGGTACGTCGCTGGGACCAACTCCAAAATCTGCACAAGAAGTGCAGAGTGTAGTATCAGTACAATCGACCCCATGTACTGGTATGTGCTGAGCCTAACCTCGACAAAGTAGTGACGAGGCTAAGGCGGGTCATTTATATTATCTGTACGCAATATTAGTAACAACAACAATAATAGAAATAAATCAGATAACTCATTTATAATAATTGAAGCCAACTCCGCAGTCATAACCAATTATCATTTCCATCAATTCTGTTGCAGCGTGAAACCCGCTCTCACAATATATTCACATTCAATTCTGTTGCAGCGTGCAACCGACTCACAATATATTCACATTCGGTTCTGTTACGGCGTGCAACCCGCTCCTCCAATATATTTATTTTAATCAAGTCTATTATATATTTATTTCAATCAAGTATATATATAGACTTTTAAATAAGTCTG